TAGGTGATCATGGTGTTGTTCAGCCTAGCCATGAAGTATTCCAATTTTTGAACGTCTTTTATTCTATTATATAGATCCGTATCACAGGGTGGAGTACCGCGCTTCCAATGTAAAGCTATAAGGCAACGAGCTGCCATCAATACATGTGAGGCTAATTTTTTTGTAAACTTATGTGCCCCCTCTAAGGGTAGGCCCAGTAAATAATGTAGAGGAACCAAAGGACATTTACGGTGAAGAAGGACCTCCAGAAGAGTTTGAACACTCCTCCTGATTCAACCACAGTGCGAAAAGATATGGAAAAGAGAACCAGCATGGGTCCGACAACGCCAACATAGTGACGAAACATTGGGATAAATATTTTGAAGAAATTCGGGAGTATGGTACCAATGATACAGGATCATATACTGATTATCTTTATATATGGAGCATATAGAAGACCTTAACGCTGAGCACCATATACTCTCCATTTAAATCTTGAGTAATGGTCAATCCCAACAAGTTTTCCCATTTTCCTCAGAGCGAGCTGAGGAAACAAAAAAACGGAGGAGATTTTTCTTGAATTGCGAGATGGGGCCTGACAATATCACAAACTTGTAAATAGATCCTTTCGACCACTTTTTTCTTTATTTCTTGCATACAGAAGCTTCCAAAGATTGGGTCTCTTACCTATCCCTGGTATACTTTGGACCCCTTACCAGTGCTCTTCTTTACCTCAAGCCGTGTTTTGGTAAATGGGTTCTCCTCCCACTAGAATTTTGTACAAATGAATGGACATGTACAGGTATCATAACATGGACACCCTTTTTTGAATGGCACTGACACTTTATTCAACATGAGATTCAAATAAGAGCAACTATGTCATGATGATACACCACAATATCAATATCAATAGTAAGTAACATCAAGTCACTGAGGGTGCGTGGAAGACCTGCCCTCATTCAAGTGTGAGGCAGAAAAGGACCTGCACTTCAAACAGAGCATGCATTATGAAGGTGGACAAGTAAGAGTTTTAAATAACCCTTTTCACAGTCCATTTAATGCCAGTGATCTATGACAGATAACTTGACCGGTGAAGCAGATCATAGGTCCATATTCTCCAAATCCACAGATTTGGTTGTCAAAGTTTATGTCAGATGATATCTTCTAAATTGGTCTACATCTTGTGTGTCATATTCAGTTGTTATTTACTATTAGCTGACTCAAAGTGGTGTTTGCCAGTTTAGTGATAATTTATTATTTGCAGTTGAAGACAATCATATATTCTAGAGGGAACCTGCGTTATCCTTTCACCTTTATAGTAGTATGTCTAATTGTACATTTCAGCATAATATAGACGGAGGGCAATTTGAAGACTAGCTGAGCTTCAGTTATGTTTCTGACAAAGGCTTTTAAACAAATGTCTGCCTGAAGTCTCATGAGGACAGTTCCCCAAGATCCTCTGCAGTGGCAAAAGCCATGTGACTCTTACTGAAACCCTGGTCATGTGGCTAGAGGACGGAATTTGTTTTTGGCAAAGGGTACCCCTTCCAGACCATAAATGACCATATCCTTATATCACACATTTGACATTTTAAAATAAAAGGCATGTTGTTTTTGTTTTTTTGAGAGCTTATACAAATGAGATACGGCAATTAAAAGTACCCCAAAAACCTTCATAATTTTTAAAAAAGGGAAATGCCATATTTTACTCTGTTATATCATATTCTCCATACCTGCATTTTCACTTGCAATATGTCCTGCAGACTTTGTTATGAATATATTGATTCTTGCAGATGTGAATGCTTTTTCCTTTACCACTGTGAGAAGAGCTGTAAGTAGAGACCATATTAGGCATGGGATTTGATCTAAATTAGTAATTCTCAACTAGGGATCCGTGAAAGCTTAGGGTTCCTCCAAAGGTTCCTTAAGCTGTGGCTGATTGACCTCCCACTTGATGATGCCTGTATAGTTCTAAAGCCTATGCCCCTTGGCAGAACCAATCACCAGAGATATTTTTAGCTGTCTGTAATTTATTGCATTTACTAATGAAAGTTCTTCTATCCATCATTGTAAGGGGCATTTCTCCTGCTGACTCCAAATACATTTGTTTTAGCAGGGCTTACTTAAGACCTGGAAATTATTTCAAGAGTTGTACTATGACACAAGGATTGAGAAAGGCTAATTTAGATTATTATGAGTGTACCTCAATTTATATGCTTAAACCATGGAAAAAAGATTTATAAATACAAGTGTGCTAGCTCTGATTCTATGGTCCCTCATTTTCTGGGTATGCCAGCTAGGGATGAACAATCAGCACAAGTGAGAAATCTGGTGGATGCTAATGATGAACATCACAATTCTACACAATTACTTTGCTATTGCAATACTTTCGGGTCAGGGAGGATTTTAATTATAGAACAGACTGCTCATCTCAGTTTTTTAAAGGCTTACATTTCCCTTCAGGGTCAGGGAGAATTTTAATGCGAAAACAAACTGCTCATCTTAGTTTTTGAAAGCTTACATTTCCCTTCCTAAATAGAAGATAAGTTACATTAACGGGTCTATTCACAAAGCTGCCGAGGGCAGCCGAGTGAATGACCGATCAGAAGTGAAGTGAGCCGAACACTGTTCGGCTATTCACTTCAGGCTGGTACGGCTGATTTCAGCCGTACATCGGCTGAAATCAGCCGTACATCGGCTTGCTATAGTCTCCATCAGAAGCCTATGTGACAGAGGGACATGGTGAAGGAGTACAATTGGAGGGATAAATAGTTCTCATCCTATAACATAATGAGCCTGAACAAGGACCAGGATCAGCAGGTAATATTTTAATAAATGCTGCAGTTCTAAAAATATGAAAAAAAGACTTTTGAAATGACATTATTGTGTTAAAGCTTATGAGATTTTAGTGAGTGGGTTTACATTTACAGATGCATAGCCCTTTTCTGATAAATGACTCCTTTTCAGATGAGGTATTTGTCAACAAGGGTTTAATCTCATGCCAGTGAATTATTCAAATTACACATCTATATAAGCCCTTAACACATTCTGACTGCAAATGTGGACGATCTGAATGGTTTCCCTGACATTAGAATCATTATTACAGCTGATAGACTAAACCAAGAAGGATATCTTTCAATCATGGGTAATTTAGATTTTATGTGCATTAAATCACAAAACCATGTTCTGCTTCAAACAGATGTAATTACAGTTAATTAACCAATTACATGGCTCTGTGAAAACTATTAACATGCTTCAAAAAAGAAAAGAGCAGCCTGTACTACATGTCAGCTTCTTTTCAATCTTTGATCAGTCCTTCAGCATTTAATAAGCTACTTTTGTTATAGACACGTAATAAACTTCAGTCTTTTAATTGTGATGACAGCCAATGGCAGTATTTAATGCTTTTAGAGCATGATTCACAGATTAATGGGAATGTGATGGGCGGCCTTTGTTGTGACTCTGTAATCGATATACGTCAATTTATAGCTTTGCTGCTGGTATCACTGGGATTACACGATTATCATTGCTTCAAATCTAAATTAACCTGCCATTGGTAGAAAGGTTTCATTTCTAAATCCACAGCATCTCCTAACCACTTCAAAGTCAACATAACAGAAGGCACTGGGCCTCCTACCAGTTAAAGGAAATCTAAACTCACAACATACACTTTCCTTTTATAACACCAGCATTATAATAGCAATACAAACTATTGTTATTTTTGACAATCCAATATAAGCTTACTCGAATCTGCTTTCATGTTGTGTGCACTGCCTAACTGGTGGACATCTCTTTAAACAACTTCCTGTATTCCTTGCATGTGGTTAACTTTTAATTTCCAAGGCCTACATATCTTATATCACAATGCTGCCTGCAAGCAGTGATATCACATGTGGGATATTTCCTGTACTGACTATTGCTCCTGCAGTCCTCTTGGCCAACATCTCTGAAGTTTAGAAGGCAGGCTCTATGAAATTGGTGATATTGCAGTGCATATTTAAAGGGCATACTGCATCTGTGCCACTGCAGTACAGTTTGTCCTTATTTAGTAAGTAAGTGTACTCATTTCAAGAGCACTCTGTAATAATAGGAGTAGGCTAGAACTGATAGAAACTCAAAGTGGAAATGAATATATGATTTTGCATTTTGGTCACAGATAGACTTGAATTTTTCAGCAGATTATACTGCATGAACCCTTCAGAAAGACATTAAAACGTAAAGCGATATCTTAAGAAATTAGGTTTATAAAATGTGATAGTGAGTAGAAACATGCAACCATATTAACCAGTGCAGGTTAGCAACCAGGGACGCTGATCTCTCTGAAAGTGGCCGGAGCCAGCCGTAAGATCACGGCTGGCTCCGCCCAGCTGTCAGAAGCAGGCTGTCGGCCGGCCAATGGCCGGCCGCTCGGCCAGCTTCGTCTTTCAGCACGGCTCAGCGCTCGACTGAGCCGCTCGGCCGTGATCGGGAGCTGTACGGGCTATTGTGAATAGCCGTACAGCACCCCCTCGGTTCTCCTGAACCGAAGGGGTCCTGGTGCCAAAGCTAGCCGAAGGATCGGCCGAAGCTACGGCCAGATCCTTCGGCAGCTTTGTGAATAGACCCCTAAATCTTTAAATTTACAGCGCTTCACTGTTGCCAAAGCAGATTTGAATATCCTTGCAGGCTTTGTATGTATGTTTGTATCCAAAGGCCATATGTACATGTAAAAACAGAACACAGTTGATAGCACTTACAATAAATTGACTCTTCTACCCTTCCCTTTCCCTCCAGAGTAGATCATTCCTTGTCCAGAGTGTGTACTTCACCATTGCCTGTTAGTCTCTCCAACCTGAGGCCTGTACAATATTTGTACAATCTTCAGTTCAGCAGGGAGTGGCGACAAGCTCAACCGTATTGTAGAAGTTGATTGGCTTTTCAAGCAGCTCAGACTCACAAATAAATCATAACAGTAATAGACACACCATTTATATTAATAATGCTATTATTTATTGTTTAATTTCTTATGTTTGTCTTTTTAGGGAAAGCTTGATCACAAGGGCACCAACTTGCCAGCCCCCCATGCCTACTGACTGTGATGGAAGAACTTGATAGTAATGTGAGGTAAGGCTGCTAAAGATTATTTAATAAAACTCATTTCACTGCCAGGAAATGGGCAAACCTATCTTTTTTCTCCCATAGACTGTTGGAAGACCTGCTTGAGTGTTTGGATTGCTCATTATTAGCCAATCTTAGATCCTCCTAAGAAAATGAAACAAAGAACATCTTAGTCAGACATCCATCATATACTCTGGACCTGAGAGCAATTACTTTATAAATTCAATAGTGCTGGGAAGCTTATATTGTGTTCTGATGTGCAATCATATGTCAGTGTATTTATACCACAGGACTAATTTCAGGAATACTTTTTTTTATAGTGATACAATTTTACCTTATAGTATTGTCTATCATTTACATAGGGGTCTATGCACTAAGCTGCCGTAGGCAGCCGAGTGAATGACCGATCTGAAGTGAAGTGAGCCGAACACTGTTCGGCTATTCACTTCAGAAAACGATTTTTCTATTGCCGGGTGGTTCTGCTGCCGTAAAAAAGAAAGGAAGAAAAAAAAATCTCCCGGGTGCTCTGGGAGTCTCCCACTCCCGGCCGCCCAGGAGAGAAACACTGATTTTTCTTTATTCTGACATGGAGCCGTGTCAGAATAGAAAAAAAAATGTTTTTGCCCATTGGAATGCATTGCTAGATTCCTATTGGCTATTTCAATTTGCAATAGCCAATAGTAAACTAGCATTGTACCCGCCCTCTGCTGCAGGACCTGATGGAGAACTTCAGCAGAGGGTGGGTACAATGCTGGTTTACTATTGGCTATAGCAAATTGAAATAGCCAATAGGAATCTAGCAATGCATTCCAATGGGCAAAAACATTTTTTTTTCTTCTATTCTGACACGGCTCCATGTCAGAATAGAAAAAAAAGAAACAGCAGTGTTCCCCTCCTTGGCGGCCGGGATCAGGAGACTCCCGGAGCGCCAGGGAGAGTTTGCTGTTTGGAGATCAGTGTCCCTGGTTAGCAGGTAACCAGGGACGCTGATCTCTCTGCAAGTGGCCAGAGCCAGCCGTAAGATCACGGCTGGCTTCGCACAGCTGTCAGAAGCAGGCTGTCACCCAGCCAAGGCCGGCCGCTCGGCCAGCTTCGGCTTTCAGCGCGGCTCAGTCGAGGCATATGCGTTCGGCTCGACTGAGCCCCTCGGCCACATTCGGGAGCTGTACAGGCTATAGTGAATAGCCCGTACAGCACCCCTTCAGTTCTACTGAACCGAAGGGGTCCTGGGGCCTAAGCTAGCCGAAGGATCGGTCGAAGCTATGGCTAGATCCTTCTACAGCTTCGTGAATAGACCCTATAGTGATGACAACCAAATAAGTTATTGTTTATGGTGATAATATTAGGCTAATTAGGCCTCATAGCCATAATTAATAAACATTACCCAGCCTGAAATATATAAATGGTGTAAATAACACACAGTAATAGCAAAAAACAATCAATACATTTAAAAAGTGCATGCAAACTTTTAAATAAAATATAACTTTAAAGTGAAAAAGCGGGCAAAACTTTCTATTTGTTTAGGATAGAGTGGGGAAGGGTTTGAATGTATCTCTGTTTTTCATTGTTGTTTGAATCTTCATTGGGGAATTCCCATTTTTAATTTAGAATAATTAAAACGATTCCACCATTCTCAATGTTGACATCAGCTAAAACCTAAAGAGGTTCTGGTGAAATAAAGTACACATCAGCAAAATGACAGGCCAGAATTGCTGGCAAATGCAGTTGGGGTGTGGCAGAAGGACAGGGCCTAAAATGTACAACCAGTTTTCTTAAATTACATTTTTTTGGCAGTATGTAGCACACCCAGTATTAACAAATGATTAAAGTGAACTTGTGCATTCACAAAAAACACCTTGGTAGCTATAGGCATTGTTGAGAAACTAAAGAATAAGTAAAGGCAAAACTCTCTTTAAAGAAGAACTCTTTAATGTACTGGGTACATTTTTATTAACCCTTGCAGTGGAGCTACTCACTCACTGCAAGGGTTAACTGCTGGCCTTCATCTAGGGCTGAAAATACCAAAGTTATACTCACTCGGTCCCCTGAGCTGGCCTTTTGTCTCCTCCTCCACTGCAGTAATGATATGTCCCACAGGGTCCTCACATCCTACCCACTGTGTATCGAATGTGAAGACCACTGCAGCGGAGGAGGAGAGATGCTCCAGGGGCCGGTCTAAGAGCAAGCTGACTAGGAGGATTGAGTGAATACAACTTTTTCATTTTCAGCCCTAATCCAAAATGAGCACCTAACCCTTGCAGTGGGGTCGTAGCTCCACTGCAAGGGATACGAATGTTTCCTGTGTTCTTATTTAAATTTTAATGGACGGGTGGGAGGTTAGAATCACTGTCAGGTTGTCATTGCTTTTTTGTCCCCATTAGGGTGATTCACCCCCTCTAATTGTCCTGATAACCAGGAATAAAAGTGAGGGTAAATTGAACAGGAACAGAGGGGAAATCTTCCAATGGGAACAATTGTTCCATGACAACTTTCTAAGTTGGGATTTCCCTCACATTGGAAAGATATCCTTTCACTACATTACTCTTTGAGTCTACAGAAGAGGAAGTGAAGGCAAATCTACTTTCTAGAGCATCAGAGGCTAAGCTATGAGCTCTATTGCTGAATCACGCTTTTAAAATTGTATTACTTCCAAGTAGTGGACCACTGCCCTGCTGAGCCTGGGACAAATGCTCTCTGTCACATCATTGTTTTTCTTAATATTCATTATAAAGTGTCTTCCTAACAGAGGCACGTTACAAACACTACATTACCTGTGTTGCTCTGATCTTCATTGACTGACTTTGGAAAAACACTTTACATACTGTATATGTACTATGATAATGCAGTGAGTTTATATGAAAAGAGCCTATCCCCTTGGCAACATATGAGGTCTATTGTGTGTTTGCTAATAGTAGTGGACAGCTTGGATTTATGAGCACATACCACTTCCCAGAATATGTGCTGCACATGGAAGATACTGGCAGAGAATATGGAGAAATAGAGACTGTTTGGCCACAAGCCAAGCAACTCGACATTGTCTGAAGACGAGTAAATCGTTTCAGTATTACACGCAACAAATTGCTGAACACTTAAATCTTTTACATGTTGTAGAGTAAATAAAATGTTTGGCAAAAGATTTAAAAGGGATATTTTAACATTAAAATAGAATGTAAAATTGGTATTGAATGATACTAGGATAAAATAATATTAATATATTATTCATGTTATGAGAGATACATTTGTACTGGCTTTTCTAAGCCTATTATACTGCATTTCACTGATGAGCTCTTAAGATGTGAAAGACACAGAAAGAACACATTGGAAGGCAAATAAGCTGTTCACTTCGGAAGGGAATGTTCCCTTAGTTTAGTCAATGAGGTGAAGCTCTGCTGATTTCATGCATCCAATCATGTGCAAGCAAATATACAGTTTTCATTTTATGTTCCCTACACACGATTGGGTATTCATTGCAAAGTGCATTTCCACCACATTTACTATGAAAAGAGTAAATTCTCCTACATAGAGAAATGTCCTTTGCAAAGTGAAAACATTTTTGCCTTTAGTAAATCAACCCCATTGCATGTAATCTGATTTTAGAATATTATCCTCCAGCTCACATAACATTGGTTAATCTATGAGTTGGTCAACATATATTTAAGGGGTGCAAGCTTCTAAGAATGTTATTTTTGTCCTTGTCTAAAGTGACTTTATTGGAAAGGTCAATGTTTAAACCAAAAGTGGCCCTCTGATCTCTGCTGCAGTCAATAGAAATCACTGGGGGTCAAATCTGCAGAATCCGACACTTCTGGTAGTGTCAATTTCCTCGGCCCCCACTGCGTGCTGCGGTTCCTCCTGCTGACCCCTACATCACTAGAGAACAAAGGGTGATGTAGGAGAAGCTGATCAAGACATTCAGCACAACAGGGGGACCAAGAATCCAACGAAGTGAGGGATTCTGCAGACTCTTCAACCGACATTTTTTATTTTTTTTGGCAGCAGTGGAGATAGGCAGCACAGGCAGAGGGAAAGTTTAGAATTAAATGTCTTTTTTGAAGGGGACAATTTTGTTCACACATTGATTTTAGTGGCAGAGTTGCTTTTAACAATGTACAGTTTTACTGACTGCAAACTTGCACCAGGTCAGTGGTTCACTAACTATTATAGCAATGATGAGAATGATAGCCCCACACCACAAACCTTTGTAAAACAAGTAGGTTTATTGTCAATCCCCTATTTCTTTTTCAGTGTAAATACAGTTACTTAAAGCGGACCTTTACCCATATGTTTAAAATAACAACAAACACACCTTTAGACATGTTTATTATTATTATTATTATACAGGATTTATATAGCGCCAACAGTTTGCACAGCGCTTTACAATATAAGGAAGACATTACAATCACAATACAATTCATGACATGATGGTAAGGAGGGCCCTGCCCATGAGAGCTTACAATCTAAAATAATGACACTCTACAAACACATATTTCTAGATAATTGCCAGCTTTGTATTCTTTGCATACCTTGTTTGTCTTTTCTTTCCCAGTCTTCTGACAGTGGCCATGTTTACTAAGGGCAGATTATTAGCTTTCCTTTTACTTCCTGATTTCTGGCACATGTGACTAGACAAGTGACTAGGACATGTGGCCATGCACATCATCTCAGTGGAAGAAAATGCTTTCCCTGAGATCTCATGAGAATACAGTTGAGATTTCCCATAAATGCTCTGCTGATGACAAGGCAATCCCAGTGTGCATTGCTTTGGCAAACTGAAGTCATTTTGATCCTTCAAAGCAGGAAGTGAATGCTCTGCAAGTGTAAGTATTTCATAATTACAGCATTTTACACGTGACATATCTACGTTATTATTAATCATCATACATAGAGGGATGCATTGGTACAATTTGATTTTTGAGTGTGAAGGTCCGCTTTAAATCAGATTTCAGTCTGTTTGAGCCAGATCACTCAATGTGGACTTAGCATTAGCTATGCAGTATTCCCTCAGT